CACACACTCTGTGTCGATGTTTGTGTGTCTGCACCTTGTCGAGCTGAGAGACGACCTCCCACAGGAGGGCGTGCAGGACGGACAGCTCGCGGCCGAGGTCGATGTAGCCCTCGAACCCCGGCGTGTTGGTCAGCGTCTCCGGGTTGGAAATCTCCGACAGGAAACGCATCATCCCCGCCCATTCGTGCTCCAGGAAGTCGTTCATGAAGGCCATGTACTCCTCCTTGTTTCCAAACCTTTGGAGGAAACGCAAAGTGAGATTTCGTTTTTCAGAACAACGCCGGCGCCGCACGCCGACCTGCAGATACTCACTTGGTGAAGTTGGCGAGGTTCTGGATGACTTTGGCGATGAGCGTGAGCGTCCGGGACGTTCGGTCATCGGGGTACTCCTGCATGAGGTTGAAGAGCGAGGGCGACATGATGGCGGGGCAGAGGAAGCGCAGGAAGAGCGAGGCGCTGATGAGGCGCTTGCTGATGTCCTGCTGGTGGCCGCGGGCGACGCACTGCTGCTTCCACGAGGCGAACACTTCCTTCAGCTCACGAGGAAACACGCTGCGGAGACGGGGAGGAGCCAACAGTACTCAGAGCTGCTTCCCGCCACACACTGAAGGCGTTTAATACGCCTCAGCGAGCAGGATAACGTCGTTTACGTCAACACACACGGGATCACAACTTCCTGTCTCAGACTCAAACCGATCACAGCGACAGCTTCACGACTTTAATTTACCCCAGAAAACTTAAAACGTCTCCATCAAAGCCGGAGACGGCGTCTGGCTGCTGATTGGACGAACAGGAAACACCTTCAAAGGCTTTTGATTCGCTCATTTTCAGTAGCAGAGCTCAAACATCAGACGCCGCCTCACAACTTCCTGCGGTTTCATCCAGTCACCATGTTAACCTGCTGTGACCCTGATTAAACTCACAGGTCAAAGGTCAGCTCAGAGGAACAAACAGGGTCTCTGAGCTGTAGTTGCCTCCCGGTGGCAGCAGGGGGCAGAGGTCAACGACCTTCACTGAGCTCTGCTGGTTTATCTGATCCCATTTTACTCTCAGATAAATGTTTTGGTTGTTTGTGAATTTAAAGGTAAATAAATAATGTTTTTGCCTTTAAGGAGACGAGACGCAGCAGAGATCAAACAGCTGCAGTCTTCCTCTCAGATACTCTAAAGCTGGAAGGCAACAACTCAAACTCACTGAAGTGTTTGGTTCACACAACTAACAGCAGAATGAGCCTTTCTAAGCACATTTAATATTGTAAATGGCCAAAAGTCCATCTGAAATTTTGCCAGCAGTTTTTACCAGAAGTCCCGACTGATTCTTATTCTTCACCGTCAGGTTACCAAACCAGGCAGCGATACAATGTTACAGATTCCATAAAACTTCTATAAAACAAAGACAACAGATGAGACATTAAAAGATCTCATTTTGCTTAAAAAGAACCGTCGTTGTTGAACTTTTTAGTGGCATCAGCACGAGATTCAAAACAGTTTATGATCAGTACCACAGACAGATATTTATAACTCAACGATCCCAGTATCAGCGGTTTAATGACAGAGGGTGATGAGCTGTAAGAGGACTTCCTAAAATCAATAATCATGTCTTTAGTTTTT